ATAAAATAAAATAAAATAAAATAAAATAAAATAAAATAAAATAAAATAAAATAACCTCAGATTTTCAAGACAGTAGTCATGGGGCTCGGGTCTTTGGTACAACCATCTCAAAGTCAGTTGACTTTGAGGAGGTGATGACAGTTCTCTGACTGTCAGGACATCTCCAAACAATGGGGAGAGAAATACTCCAGGGAAGAATGAGACAACGCAAGTCCAGAGCCCAACATGGTGTCCAACATGCAGAGAGTGTTAGTTTTCTTTGCTTTCCCTGTCTCTATGATAAATGCTCTATTAGGCCAGCATGCCTGACAAAGTCTTATCTGAAAATATGTTCGAGATCTGTGCTCCTGCCGGGTTTCAGGGATCAGCCAGCAATCCATTTCATGGATAACATCATCCTTTACCAGGGGAGACATTAAAAATTAACCCAGAGGACTTCATATTTTCTGCTAGAGGCAAAGCTGCTATGGTTACCAGATAATGCTCAGACTGGGCTGGAATACAGATAAGGATTTTTTTTTCTTAATATAAGAAAGGCAAAGGCCTCAGTGATGGCTCACAAGAGAAATGCCCCATGGACAAAGAGAATACAATCAGAATCAGAGCTTGGCAGAAGGCATTTGACTCCAGGCAGCATCTAGCCTACAAAGTCGAGGCCAGCAGCTCTCTTGATTCTTGTTTGGATGAAGAAGGCAGAGACAGAGAGGATGCTGGCTGATGGGGAACAGTGGAAGGAGGGGCTGACAGGGGGAGGGAGGGAGAGACAGAGACAGAAAGACAGACACACAGAGAGACAGAGGGGCAAAAGAGAGACACAGAGAGGCAGACAGAGACAGAGATACAGACAGACAGACTGACTGACAGACAGAGAGCTCTTAGAAGGCCTTAAGCTAATACCTGAAGTTTTTCTTCCCTTTTGAGCAATTCTAGCTACTTAACACGATCCAGACAGGACTCCCTGTTTCTATACTCAGCCAGGCCTTCATGGAGAATGTAAGTATCTTTGAGTTGAAGCTAGTGCAGGCTTTTTGAGAACTTAATTGGGTATTGACTTTGTATTACCTCTTTGTTTTCAATCCCAGAACTCTTGGGACAATCAGAGATCAAAGAAGCAATGGCCCTGATCCAGGAAGAGAAAACTCTGGTTTGCAAGTGAGATAGGGGACCACATGGGCTGGATGAACATGACCGCAGTGTGGGGAAAGGTGAGGAAAGGAATCTGGAATTGGTTATCCTCAATCAGGCAATAGTGTTCTTGGTCCTGAACCTTAGAAGACAAGATGCCCCATCTGACTGGATCAAACATGGGGAGGGACAATAAATGAACTCTAGAGTGAGAGCCAGGAGCCTTGGCTTTGCCAGTAGCTCTCTGGAGCACCCTGTGCATGTTGGTCTTCCTCAGTCTGCAAAATGCTGTGAAATGCATAGGTGAAACTAGAATGTCTGTGGTTCACACTGCCGCAAGCAGCTGTATACCCTGAAGGTGCAATGATTATAACTAGAAGATGCCAGAGACCCAGGGGTGAGGCATGTGAGGCAGAGGCAAGGGAAGACTGGGCAGAACCTTTCCATGATTTCAAACCACAGTAGGTAACAGTTCCCTTCTTGATATGCCATTGAGGAAGCAGAGGATGGTGCGTTTGCCAGGAAATCTGGCCCGTTTTTCTTCTTAATCTTTTTATTACCTTCAATCACTGCCTAGTAGCCCTTTACTGAGCATCTACTGTGTGCTATCTTTCTCTTTGCCGCTGCACAGGAGTTATCTGAGGAACTACATCAGATGTACCAGCAGGAACTCTAAGACAGTGTACCATATCTTGTTTCCAGACCAAGGCCTGTCATGGGGAATGTGGCCAGAACTGAACTTCTGGCTGAGAGTCATTTTTGTGGGAGAGAGAAGCATGCATTATAGAACTATTGACTTGAGCTGCTATGGAATTTTGTTTTTCGGTTTTAGATATATTCTGTCCACCTTTTTAAAGCCAAAGAGCCAAAAGCAGACAATGTATCTGGGTTTGGATATGAGGCTGTAGGGGAACAATGATCTCAGAGGCTGGCTGTTAGAAGTAAGGTGAATAGCAGAGTCAGGGCACTGGGATTCAGCCATCTCTATCTTGGGAAAGAGGATTTTCTGTAATGACAGCCAGGGGCTTCCTGCCAGGGCTCAGCTTACGTCCATCAGTGCCGCATTGATGTAGTTGCTGGACTCTCCATCTACAGAGATGAGGAAGGGTAGGCAGCGGTCCAGAGGCAGAACATCCATGCTCCGATTCTTATCATGGTTCCTGGGTAAGAGCCCAATGCTGCAGTCTTCAGGCCGCACGCGAGGTGTCACAATGTTGAGTGTCTGTGGGAAGCAAAGGTGAATACAGCAGTTTGTATCCAAGCAAAGGAGACTGCTATCCCAGTTTAGCTTAACTCACCTGTCTCCATTCTCCAAGCGTGGCTCTGCCATCCCTTTCCCCAAACCCAAGCTTCTCCCATGACAGTGATACTCTATTATATCCTGCTTGCTGCTACAGGACTTCTGGGCTAAGAGTCTATGCCAAGAGTTTTGTGATACTTTCAAGATGCCAAGGCTGCAGGGGCAGCAAGCCCATATACAGGCTAAGCCATAGGCTGACAACACCTGCCAAACATTCGAACTGTTGTTCAACTGAGCTAGCGCAGCATTAAAGGAGGGCCAGCCAGGAGGGCATATGGCAGGGAATGGGCTAGAGAATCCCTAATGAATGTTAAATAGCACTTGAAGTGCCTTGGAAAGAAGGAAATGATTTACCAGCACTCTTCTCAGTGTTAAAGCTGTGGGGGGAAGGAAGGATGCTAGGATGTTCTACTCAGGGTGGACCTTGTGGGGCAAACTAGTAGGTCTACAAAATTGCCAGGTTTGTGCTCTGTAGGGTAATTCTTACACAGTTAGGGATCCAGACCTGTTCCAGCCAGTGAACTGGATCCTTGTCCAATGACCAGAGTTCTGTGCCTTCCATTCCTCCATCTCTTGGCATGTCTCTGCTCTAAGACAATGAGGGCTACTTGTTTAAAGGAGTCCTAGCACATCAGCCTGATTGGAATACTGTGAGCTGTTTACTTGTTTCTTCCTGCCCAGTTCTTACAGCCACAGCACAGTCTTTGGCCAAGGAATAAAGGGCTGAACTCTAGCTTTTTACATGGTGATCCATGCCCAGGATTTTAGCTTTTTCTACTCAGTCATTCATAGCCAGGTCTCTCAGATCAAAGCTTTAGTTTTGAATACTCTGATTCCAAGGTGTGGATCTGTGATGTCTGAGCCCTGCTCTAGGTTCAAAGCTTATTGTACATGCAGATAAATGCCCCCGAGATCCTGGTAATTGCAGGTTCTAATTCAGTAGTTTTGGGTGGGGTCCACTAGTCTTCATTTCCAACAAGCCTCCGAGTCCACACAATAAGTCTAAAGAATTTGTGGAGAAAACACCAAGACTGCATATTTCCTCCAGAGTCAAAGAAGCATGAAATTCACACCAGTGCATAAACTTCTGTCCATTCCACAACATCAACAAGAATTAACTAAGACCTCAGTTCAATAGCATAATCACAGCAGAAAAACAAGTGTCAGCCATCACTGAGTGATTGGTTAATAGTTGCTAATGACTGTGCAATCTGATGGTGTGAAAAGCTTTCCACAGCTGCTGGGCACTGCAGACTGAAAACACACACACACACACACTCACTCACACACACACACACACACACACACACACACACACACACACACACACTCACACACCAATCTGACCAAGAAAGGCTCACAATGTGTATGTGAAGTTGCCTGGGTCTCCGTTCAACACACATATGCTGCTATCCCAGATCCCAGTGGGGCTTATGAGGAGGAGGGCCCATGAAAAGTAATCACATTCACAAGGGTTGTGTCCTCATGAGTGGGATCAGTGTTTCTATGAAAAGATACTCAAAAGTTTGCTCCTCTGCTTTCCACCACGTGAAACCATAAGGAAACAGCCACTCACAAACTACATTGGTGTCAGAGCTCTCCCCAGATAGTAGGCTTGCTTGGGCTTACTGCTTCCAGAAGTGGGACAAGCAAATGCCTGCTGTAGAAGTCATTCGGAGTGTGGAAATCTGTTAGGACAATTCAGTGCAACAAAGTCCCGGAAGCTCTGCTTTACGCATACCTGAAACTCATCTTTGATCTGGCTGGAGTTGGTCTGGGGGTCCAGCCTGCTGATGTTGTAGTAGAGAGAGCGGAACTCACACACGGGGATGGCAGTGTTGCCGCAGAGGCATGCTTCCAGAATAGCATCATGCACAAACACATACTGCTCCTGCAAAGTCAAGGGGATAAACACTCAAGGTTCTTCTCCTCTTCTGTGGGGCAGCTTAGAGGGATGTGGCCCACGCTGTCCTTTAGGGCTCAGCAGCAGCACTGCGTTCCAGATGTTACAGTACAATAAACTACACTTACTTTACTCTTTTATTTCTGCCCCATCCCGCTTTACCCCCAACAACCAAAGTGTCTTGGGTTTGCCTCCAAAGAGACAGCTTGCACTGAAAAGCTGTCTCTCAGGGTCTGATCTTAATGCGTGTACCATACCCTTTCCCATCCTGCTCCTTAGTAGCCGCTATTCTCTTCTGATGCAATTCTCCTTTTTGATATCTTCATATTTTCTTATTTAAAGAAAATATTTTTTTAAATCTATCAAGCATACGATTATTATCCTTATAAGTGTTTGTTGGGTGGCTTTTTTTTTCTCAACCAAAATTTGTCCCCTTTAAATAAAGTGCTTTAATGGGATGTATCATGATGCATTTAAATGATTCCCTGCCTGACCCCTACCTACACAGCAACTACACAGACAGCACAGTCATCTTGGCTCTAGTGTGATAAGTCTGAGAACTGGCCCATGGGCTGTCTTGTAGCATGCAATAGATTCCAGTGCGATAAACCTTCCCATGAGCATCTGCAGGAACTGCTGTGCCTAAAGCCATGGGTATATCCCTTTGCAGGGTTGATACAGTACAGCAACCATGGGTTCTAGATCTGCTAGGACATCGACATTTTTTACTAGAACCAAAAGGTGGACTCATTGCAGGAACAACAACCCAAGGAATTGAATAGACAGAAAACTTCATTAAGGTACATAATTTCTCAGTGTGCTCTTCACTTATAGAATGGAGATATGAGCAGGAGATATATTATAGGTTGTGAAGAGCAGCAGGGAAAGCATCCTAGATACAAAGAACGCATATTGCTTGACTCACTGTAGTTGACAACAATTCAGACAGTCTTACATTATCTTTGGACATTGGGCTCTCTAGCTAGAAGAAAAGGAAACTGGGCATCTGCCTTTCCTTGAGGGCACACATGTGGAACACTTATATACATGCAGGTAAAAAACACTCAGACACATAAAATAAAATACATGAATGTTAAAAAAAAAAAGAGCACTTGTTGGTTAGTCCATTTCCATCAAGGTCTGACTGAGTGCTTGGCACAGAGTGGCATTCCGGATGTACCAGTACTTCCTCTCCATTTTTTTGTCCATGGCTGAAATACTATCTCTAACAACTGCCTTTCAGGCTTTCTTGGATGACCATAGAGCTAGAGAACTTACCAGTTATTGCTGCCAAAAGTTCCTGTACCACAGACTTTCAGGGTTGGCTGGGACATCTCACCATAGCAAGCTAGTAGTCATTATGTACCAACACTTATACAGGCATATATCTTTCTGCAGGATTTCTCTACTAATGAGCCTCTGTCCTACCATGCTGCTCCTTGGCCAAGGTTTCAGGTAACTAGCTGGCTCAGTGCCCCAGGACTAACCTCTGTCTGCACCAGGTTGACCCTCTGTGCCCGGAGCTCACGCACACAGTTGAAGATGTCCACCACTCCTTCGTTCTCAGCCATGTCGAGCATGGTGTCAATGGCAATGAAGCAGCCAGTCCTCCCGGCTCCCGCACTGGAAGAGAAGTTTGGTGGGTGATTAAGAACATTGGGATAAATCATGATGATAAGACCCCTACCATTTAGCCGTATTTCAAAAGCCTGTTGAAAGGCAGTGTTTTGCAGAAGTCAGATGGAATGGTTAGAACTCCAACATTCCTGGGCTATGCTGAACAAGGGACCAGAATTTTCTTTATTAAATGGAAGAGTAATACCATTGGGATTGTTTGTCAGGACTTATTTTGTTGTACTTATTTAGGAAATACTTTAGTGCTTACCAAGTGACACACTTGTACAAGTGCTTTACGAATTTGCTGTTGGACTTCCTTATGAAGTGATAGGCAAGTTTAATATCCCATTTCACAGGTGAAAAACTGAGGCATAGAGAACTTATAGCATGAGATCATAAAGCTGGCAAATGGAAGAGCTGAGCATTCCCCAAGGCGTCTAGAATTTCTCCTCTTTCTTAATAATGTATGATGTGTAATGCAAGACCTCATAGTAGGTGTGCCCACAGGCTTCTCATCTGAAGGATACAGTCCAGGGGTACAGTTAAAATCCCTTAACGCTATGCCTGGCAAAATGGAGCCTTCCTAGGAAACATGTCTCCCTCCTACTTCTTTTATTCTTTTTTTATTTCATGTCAGGAAATGGGTTGCTAGATGGAAACAAGAAGAGGACAGAGGTTACAGAGAGGACATGAGCGAGAGAGCAGGAACTAGAGAGAGCTCCAAGCTGTGTCAAAGGCAGAGAATACATCTCAAGTCCCCTATTCAAGGTCTTGCAGTTGACCCATTTGTGCTGGCATTCTCGGTGTCACGAGTCAGGCACCTCATCAAATTGGAGCAGCTGACAGTCTTGAGACCCTCACTAGGCACCACGTTCCCTAGCATATAGTCAGTTTCTGATTACTGACAAGCTTTAATAGGAGAATCTCAAACAAGACACAGAACAGCAAGAGGATTCCAAAAGGCTCCTTGGAGCACAGCCAGATCTTCCCAGATTAACTCTGGGTTCTAAAAGACTAGGGCTGAACCATAGAACACTGGTCTGTACTGTGCACAGTTTTGGAAGGGAAAAGTAGGGCAGACTGTCAAGGAAGCCCAGTTGGTGGTGTTTCGCACTTTTCGTACCCTGTGGAAACAAATGTCTTTGTCTAACAATGTGGCTATCCAAGGAAATGCACAGAGGATGGATGGAATAAGATGTAAAGGCAACATTGGCCATTCAGGATACACCACCGTGAGTCCAAGAAGCGTGGGCTAGGGGGGATCTGCACCATTAGTGGTTTAGAAATCAAACCCTTTGCAAGCAGTCTTCACAAACTCCATGGTGACATGAGTAGAGCCTGATCTTATTCTTGCCACAAAATACCTGTCCACCATTGTACTCCAGACCCTTTTAAAAGGAAACAAACAGAAGTGGCTCCGGAGCCTGGGAAGGGATATAGAAAAACCACTCATTCAGCTGTTCCCCAAAGCCTAATCCTCAACATGTCTCATAGGGCTGAACCATAGGGCTGTCACTGGTTTTTAATCTTGCCTCCAATATCAGTAAATAAGGTACCTGGTATCTATGGGCTTCAGTTTGTACCTCCTAGAAAAGAAGTTTTGAAAAGTCTGAGCTGTTTTTTTTTTTCTAGAATAAAATTGTAGTTAAAACATGATATTTGTGATTTCTGAAGTTAAATCTTGGCTCTGTCACTTACTAGTTGTGTGACCTTGGGCAAATGACTTCATCTCTCTGGGTTTCGCTATTTTTATTCATAAAATAAAACTGGCCATATACCTCTTAGTAGTAATAGTACAATATATTTAAATTGCATTAACTTACATTTTAGAAACATAATGCAATGTAAATTGCTTACTTTTGTGCCTGGATACTTATATTCCACAGTATTTATGAAGCATCTATGATGCCATGAATGCCAAGATTAAAAGTAGGAACAGGAAGATTAGTAAGAGACACTTTCTGTCCTAAAGTATTTAGTAACCTTGTCTTGGGTGTTGGATGGTGTTAAGAGGCAGGGAGGGTGGCGGTTTTAAGTGCTTCTTATGTTTGGAAATTATTTCAGGCACGCAGTGTGCATTAGCTGAACTGTATCAGTCCTAGGAGTAGGCAGCACTCTGCTTAGATGTTTTACAGTGAGATGCAGGCACAACCTTCACAGTAAGGACTGCAAGTAGCAAAGGATTGATGAACACTGCCGTTGTCTCCCTTCCTCTCTTTCTCCTGAGCTCTGGCTGCTGCTGGCGGACACCAAGCTCAAACGTGAACGAGGCTTTTGCTCTCTGAGATGAGAGGCAAAGCAGAGAGAATCCACACCAAATGCTCACAGTGCAGAGGTTTCTGCTAAATCCTCAGTTTTCACCTGTGAAATATGGTTTTGTATCCATTGCTGTGGAGAACACAGAGGGCTGCTTTGTGAGGGAGGGGCTGGCTCTGAGACATTCGTGGAGTCTTCCCTGGTCTCTTGACTGACATAGACATTTCCTGGAAGGGTGAGGTCGACTCATCATACAGGTATACGGAGATGTGCTGAGCCCAAGGTCATACTGAAATGGAGGGGCATCGGGAAGGGGGAGGATACAGACTCTGTGGCCTTCAGGTCTGAACATGTACCTTCCTCCAATTCCAAATGCCCTTGACACAATACTTCATCTCCATTTAGGAGGATTCAATGCCACTTATGTTCAAAGTGACTTTCTAGGTCACAGCTAAAAATTTCCTGTCTCGGTAATAAAGGGAACCTGATGCTGACCACTTGCTCTCTATTAAGGACCCTGCAGGCCCACAATTGATTTTAAAAATAATAGGAGTGAAGAGATGCGTGTTTACACTGAGGCATCCCATGTCAAGTTGCTGCCAGGAAGCTCAAGAGAATATGTTAACTATCCCAGCTTTGACACTCTCCATCTCTCTCTACCATCTCTGTGCCTCAGTTTCTCCACCTGAAAACTGGGGGTGATCAGAGAATATTGCTCACCTATCAAGCTTGGGTGGGAAGTGCAATAATTTGGACAGATACACATGGCAGACAAAGCAGGTGCTGCTGAGCCCAGTTGTGTCGCTGGGGCAAGAACCATAATAGTGACATAACCACTGTTGCTGCTGTTGTTGGACCTTGGGATCCAGGTCTCCTCAGAAGGTGGCTGGGCTCTAGGTCACAGGAGGAGGAGTCTTAAAGCAAGAAACCAAGGCCCCTGGACAAGACGGCATCACCCTCACCCAGACAGCAAATCTACAGAGGTCCAGTTGATTGCAGAATGGGGATGGAAGTTTGACTCACCTGCAGTGGACCACTATGGGCCCAGCTTCCGGGGGATTGAGGAACTTGACCTGGCGGACAAAGCCCAGAAGGCCAGTGGCATAACAGGGAACACCATGGTCAGGCCAGCTGGTGAAGTGGAAGAGGCGGAGCTCCCGGATCTCGTGGTAGCCTTTCTGAGGAGAGAATGAGCCTCGTTTCTCCATGCTGCCCTCATGTACCCTCCCAGCTCTGTGGGGACTGGTGGCTGCTGCACTGAGGAGTGGGCCTCTCTGCTGTGCGTGGGGCTGGAGGGGGATGGAATGTGTGGGGTAAAGGTGTGGGGTATAGGTAGGGGGCTGGGGGTGGAAGAATGAGGCCCTTGCTGGTTTAGTGGGTGCTAGCTTACGGTAACTCTGCTCAGTTACTTTTAGAAAATGTGAAGCCAGCAATTTATTGAAGAACCTCTTAAAGTTAATTAACTTATTTATTTATTTTTATGTGTATGAGTATTTTGCTTGTAATTCTTCAGCAGGCATTCAGAGCATTCCTAGCTGGTGCTAGGAAACATCTCTTTTCATCTCATGTTAAGTAATAATCATCAAGGGTCATCTTTCCCTGGACATGTGCTAGCCACTATGAAGAGGTAATTTAAAGCCACAGCTTCCGTCACACTGAGTGAGGGAGACTCCTGTGTGGCTGATTCTGCTAAGGCAGTGGTTCTCAAACTTCCTAATGCTGCTTTAATACAGCTCTTCATGCTGTGGTGACCCCCAGCCATAAAATTATTTTCATTGCCATTTTATAACTGTAATTTTACTACTGTTAAAATTGTAATGTAAGTATCTGATATTTCTGATAGCATTAAGTGACCCCTGTGAAAGGGTCATTCAACCCCCAGGGGGGTTGTGACCCACAAGTTGAGAACCACTGTACTAGAGTGTAGGAAGGAATTATCTAACATGACTGGAGAGGAGGCAAAATCAGGGAAGGCTTCTTAGAAGAGGAATATTTGACTGAGGTCTGGGAACACAAAACTGACAATAAAAGCTGGCATTTGCTAAGCGCTGGTGATGTCCCAGTCACTCCTTTGAACACATCCATATATTAATTAATTTAATCCTCTGATCAGGCATACTATCATTATCTTCATGTAATAGACAAGGAAAGTGAAGCTAAGCAAGGTTTAGAAGGTGTCAAATAGTAAGAGGATGGTTTGCATACCGGCCATCTGGCTCTACCGTCTGCATTCTTCATCATTGGGAAGCTGAAGTGTATACGAGCTTCCCTGCCTCACTGAGGACACGAGGGGCAGTGTGCATGAGCCCTGTCTTGGGGACAGGCTACAGAGAGTACTGGACAGAGTCACAAAGAAGACAGGTCGAAGCTGGAGGGATGCAGAAGGCAGCAGGGGAGAATGACAGGACTGGATGCATGGGGGGTGGCAGGTGCTGAAGCCTGGAGCCCCAGTCACCGTCCTGATCCTATCTCAAGGGCACCAGGATGTCAAGGCCCCCCAGTGGCTGTTCTGTGGAGGAGAGACTCAGGATATGTGTTGGTGCCCAGCCAATGTTGGTTGTTGGACTGTTTCACCATCTCCACCTCCTGTGTGCCTCGTATGGAGACAGCTGATGAGCCCCTTCTTCCGGGGACAGCCTGCAGCTGGACCTGCAGCCCATCCCTGGGCTGGCTGGGGATATCTAGCTCCCTCCATCTGATGCAAGGGTTGAGGTATTAACTGGCGTTGTTAACAGTCCAGTGTGCCCAGAATGGAGGGCTTTCTCAGGACGTGGACCTCCAGTGCTAAACTCAGCATGTTCTGGGCAACCCAATGGCTGGTACCCTCTTGGGGGCTCAGTAAGCCCTCTGCCTGCAGAGAAATTCCTGCTACAAGACCCTATGGAGTCAGGCTTAAGCAGGGTGTCTACTAAGGTCCTGCTTCCCTCACCCCCTTCTCCTACAAGGCTGCCTCTCCACACACAATTCATTCAAATTCCTGTTGCTTTGAGCTCTGCTTTCAGGAACTCCAAAGTAAGATGGAGCAAGATGAAAGGCAGAGGATGGCTAAGAAGGAGGGGACAGAAGCCGAACTGAATCAGGGATAGAGGAGGAGAGGCAGAACAGCTCCAATACTGTCGTGTGCTTTCCTGACCCGTGCCATGCTGTCCCTGGTGCAACTGTGCTCACTTCCAGGAGCAGAGGAGTAAGCTATCTGCTATTTCTGGGTTTCCAGTTGAGGAACTGGTGTTGAGCTAAAGCTTTTGAGAGAGTTTGCTGAGCGCCTGTCCATAGACCATGGAGAAACTGATGGGTTAATCCTCAGAGATTCAGGAGGTCTTGCAAGTGAAGTTTCCTATAGGAAATGCTTTCCTTTATAATTGTTTAAGGGAGAGAGAGGGGGAAAAAAAAGACAAGGCAAGGGAAAATCTTGCTTCTTCAATATGCCTTGCCACCTGCAGTTTCTCCCTATTGGGGTCTGGGCTTGGATCTATGTAGTGGTACACCGCCTCTATTCACATTAACTGGGGACTCATTAGATGATGTTAGTGCCCATTCAGACCATCTTTATGGAGCCTGGATTACTCAGTGTTGGTGGCCGGTGACTCCCAGCTGTCCCTTTTTCCTGGATGTGCATCCTTAGGTGGCAAGAGCTGACTCACCCTGGAGGTTAGCCCCCAGTAGCATGTCCATGGTCAGAGGGAGCGTCTCTCAACCTAGACATTCCTGGATGTGACATGCTGGGCTGGATAATTCTTTATCATGTGAGCTGTGGATTATTTAGCAGCACTACTGGCCTCCACCCACTAGATGTCAGTAACAAAATACCCTCTCTCAAGTTGTAGTGTTCCCATATGTCTTCAGGCAGTGACAGATACCCACCAGAGTACCAAAAAGACGCTTTCCAGGTTTAGAATCTAATCTGGGCCTAATCTCAACCAGAGAAGCATCTTTTTTGCCTTCCATGCTACATGTTTTTGACCGTTGGCCAACGATATTATTCCTCCCAACTTTTCCTAATTTACCCTACAAATTACTTTGGCTCTAGGGGTATATAGTGGGGCACATTTAAATTTCCAGTGCCTCTGTACATTTCTGTCTCCATCCTTTCGTGCCTGATAGCTCTCATCACAATGTATCCTTAGGTCACTGCATTATCGGTTGAAGTCTGCTTGTCTATAGTAACAGCCAAGCCTACCCTGATTACTGTTCTGTTCATTATGTGAGGTGTGAGGCTGGACACAAATCAGACCCTGGGACTACACTGTCTGAATGAATAGACCAGTCAACTGGTCCTCTGAGAGGCTTCTCACAGAAAGGGAAACTTACCTTCTGGACTGTGAAGGTGCGGATGACATATTCTGCCAGGGGCTCTGTTTCAATTAGGGTGACTTTAATGTCTCCATAGACCTCCGTGTCATCCGGCCAGTATCTCACACACTTCACCTGTGGTCAAGTGAGAGACAGGGAAAGGATAGGGAGGAGAGCACATAAACAGAGTGCCAAGCACGAGAGGCTACCTCCTTTTGTTTTCCCATCCAGATAAACCCAGGGATGACTTTGGAGGCATTTCAGCCCATGGGGCACTCAGTGGTCAGAGATCAGCAAATTACGCAGGGCCTAGCTCACTGGGGCCATTATAATAACAGAGTATCTTCTCTTACAGTTCCTTGTGATTTTCTAGTGTCTTGCTATATTAAGCCATCAGAAAGAACTAGGTAAGATGGGGGTTGGGGAAGGTTATCATCCCCACTTAGCAGATGGATAGTAATACTGGAGATCGGTGACTTGTTCATTTCCTGCTGTGTCAGCACGGAGTGGCTGGGCATTATTATCTGAGCAAGGATGAGAAATTCAGGTGGGAAACAGCGAGGAGGTAGAAGCAGAAGCGATTAGGAGAGGGTCCTTATAAAGAGGCAGTCTCTGGGGGGCTGGAAGGAGAAAGGCTCGTAATTGGGGGAAGAGACAGACAATCCTGAGCTCAAAGGGAAGATGTGCTACTCCTCTCTGCCCCAGCAGTGGGTACCTGGGCTACCAGCAAGCAGTCCCCACATTTGACTCTAAGTTCCACAGAGAGAAAAAGAAATCATAGTTTTCCCCCTTAAAAAATAACAAAAGTGTTATTACCATTCCGGGGGACGCCGCACGGCCTAGCGTGGCAGTTCCCACAGTGTGTTCCGCTGGGTGCTAATAGGTGTTAGGTAAACAAAACAAAACAAAAACAGAAACAAAACAAAAACAAAAAAACAAGAAACAAAACAAACAAAAAGAGGTTTTTTTGTGGTCAAATGAGCTTGGGAAATGCTGTTTCAACAAAGTTAAACAAGTTGCTTTGCTAAAAAGATGACTTAGATCCTCAAAAGTGCTAACGTTATTAAGAAGTATCTTAGGACTCTCCAGCAGGGGCAGAGGGCACAGCATTTCCCAAACGTATTTAACCGTGGAACCCCCTCTCACTAGTCATCCTGCACCCCATGGAACCCACTTAGGGAAACACAGAGAGTGCAACAGAGCTTGGAGGCAAATGGGCATTGCCAGACCCTGAGACCTCCGAGGTAAGTACCTTCTAGAAAGAACCTCAGACTCCTATTGCTAATGAGAGCTGGTACTTACCTTGTCTAGCATAGCCTACTAACTGTTCTATGACTTATTTCCATGTATGGTGTTAAATATATGTCACCACAGCCTTAGAGAATATGGTCACCCACGTTTTACAGATGAGGATTTAAACATGGGGAAGCCAAGAAAATTGTTCAAAGTCAACAGTGGGCAAGGGATGGAGTGAGGCTCAGAAACCCAGACTGTCTGAATCATAACCAGGAATACCGCCTTTCGCAATTGCTGTGAGATAAATGTAAGGTAGCATGTGCGCATCGGCCACTAGCAGGAGTGCCATTAAGAAACTGATTTTCCTCCCAGGCCTGGTTTTCATTCACAGTCCAGCACTGGGTGAATTCATTTCAAAATGTGAAATGTGCTACGGGTCAGGCTGGAATGCTCAAGCTCTGGGCCACACTCGTTATCTATTGGAGTTGCAGCCCGAGTCCTGTTCCCTGCGGAAACAGCTGAATAGTGGGGGCCAGTTTGAACAATGGGGTTGGGCGTATTAGAATGAGAGTCAAGAGTGAGATTATAACTGATCGATTCAGGGATTCACCCTTTTGCATCTATTCCTCATCTGTAAAACTGGGGAATGGGCCAGATGGTGATTGCTCTGGGATAAGGTCTCACTTAGCCCTGAGCCCTGATTGGCAATGAGATATCCACATCCTTTCAACACACTATGACAGATGGATAACTTCTTCTTCCCCACTGCTGTGGCCAGCACCCTGTATCCTAATAGACTGTCCATAAAAACTTACCTGTCCACTCTTGATATAGTTGGTATACAATATGGGAGGGAGCCCTTTGAGTCTAGATATTTGTACGTCAGCCTTTCAACTGTGCAGCCCACTCATCCACCCACGGGCCACACCAAGGGGAAAAAACAAAGTTGGAAATGGTGATCCCCTTTCTAAGCTCTAGCTTCTGACCGAGAGGGAGAGCAGAGAACAGAGAACAGAGACTGAGACCAAGAACGGAGAAGGAGACAGAGGCCCAGAGCCTTAAAGAACAGTGAGGGTTCATAGGCAGGGAAGGAAGAGCAGGTCATAGAGGGTGAGATGCTGCTGAGAGAAGACAGATGGAGAGAGAGATGTGGAGGCTGGGTTTGTCAACAGCGACTGATATTGACAATATCACTGCTGGTGGAATGGAGAGACCTGCGATGTTGAGGTGGAGAGAGGAGAACAGAGTGGAGACGCAGAACCTTCTGTGAGTCCTTCAGATTCAGAAGAAAAGTGGGAACACACAGGCACCTTTGTTTGGCTTTAAAACATTTTTTTAAAAATCATTTTATACCTTTATTAACTTTGTGAGTTCTTTTCGACAATTTCATACATAAATATTATTTATTCAGACTACTCTATTCCTCCTCCATCTTTCATCTCTGTCAATCCTCACTCTCAATCCCTACTATCCTGTTAGCAAATTCATGATTTTTGTTTGTGTTTTGTGACTCATTTGGTGGTGGTTTTTGTCCTTCTGAGATAGAAAGTACTGTGCATATGTACATGCTGAGGGAAATAATTCAACAGTGACGAACAGCCTTTTTTTTTTTTCAGACAAAAAAGGAATATAAGAAAATATCCAAGCCTTATTGGGTTGTATCTGAGGATATGAGTGAATCTGCTCTGCTCTGCCTGGCTTCTTCCCTTTAATGATAAAGCCCAGTGATAGGTCCCTCTGTCCCCCCTTCAAAGCTGAATGTGTCACTTGCATCTCAGGAACATCTGGTTGCTTTCCTGTTCTGTCCCTGTGGCTTTTTTGCTAGTGTACACTCATTCTCTTCTTTAAGGGAAGCCCTGGTTCTTTCATGGATAAAGAATGTTGGGCTAACACATGAAGAGGGGAGACAAATAAAGGCTCACAGAGACTTCTCAGAAAGCATCTTCCCAAGGGTGACCTATCAAAGGGAAGAGACTTAGTGCTTGTCATTTTGGGTTTTGTTATAAAAAAAAATGGCTGATATTCAGCCTTTAAGGGTCAACAGAAACAGCCCTTTCTTATAGCTAGACCTGAAAACAAAAGCGAAAACTGTGAAGATGGCTGCAGATACAAATAAGATTATAGGTCTGTGATGTGTTGGTGAGAGAGTTCACATCTGATGGCTTTAATTTCCTCAAAATATATGAGATGACATTATCAACGGGGAGAGGATAGAGATGGGATGGGAAACTTGAAGGAGTAGAACACTGCTCAGATGTGAAGTACGAGAAATGGTATCTCCCATCCCTGTGGGCTGCTGTGAGGGTGTGATCATGTTTTGGAAGCTCCTGGCACAACGCAGGCAGCGTGTGTACCAGGGTGCGTCTCCACTGCCCTCTTCCCACATGGCTGAAGGGGGAGGCTTACCCTGCCCACTTCCACAAGGTTTGTGACCATAACGATGCTGGCAGAGTTTTCCTGCCAGATCATTCTCCAAAAGTCCTTCACAGTCTCTTGCATTGGACCTGCCAACAGAGAAGGCAATGGGGTTAGAGAGTGCTGGTACCAAGTGGCTGCTGAAACATTTGTCTCTTTTGGTTGTTTAATCAAGGTTCTATATAGGTAGGCAAGGGTGAGGCCAGGGGAGTCTTGGGGGGACATCAAGTAGCTGACATGGAGGTGGGAGGCATGAGTCTTCGGGGGCCAGAGCACAGTAGAGCTAAGATAAGCCACATTTTAGATATTCATGGTCTGCAGCATCCTCCCCACCCTCACGCTCAGTCCAGCAGTTCCATTTTTTTTTGGTGATATGCCACTTTATCTGGACTATAGTTTATATTGTGTCCAAGGGACAGAAGGATATCCATATCCATGAGGGACAGCAAGGGAATTAGGGTAGAGAGGATGGAGCTTCCAAAAGCGAGAGGGTCCAAAGTTTTGTGTTTGACAAATGCCGGAGACATTCACCTGAAGCTTGACTAAGAGAGGAAGGATAAAAATATCGAAAGAGAAAGAAGAAGAAGAAGGAGGAGGAGGAAGAGGAGGAGGAGGAGGAAGAGGAGGAGGAGGAGGAGGAGGAGGAGGAGGAGGAGGAGGAGAAGAAGAAGAAGAAGAAGAAGAAGAAGAAGAAGAAGAAGAAGAAGAAGAAGAAGAAGAAGAAAAGAGAAAAAAGGGAAAAGGACAGAAAAGCAAGGAATGGGAGATAGGATCTGACAATCCAAAGCAATTTCCTAGGAAATGACTCCTAATATCCTGGGTCTTCATCATTTTTAAAATTCATGCGTTTGAAAAAAACTGGAGTAGTATTTTTTCCTGTGTTTTGTGTGTACATATGTTTCTGTTGCAATGAGCACCAGGTCTATTTAAGTATTTTTTTAATGTCCTCAAAATGATATTTTTCACAGCTACACAGTTTTCTACAACATGGAAACACCATATGTTATTTAACCAACCTATCTATTATTGAGCATTTAAAATTTTGACTTTCTCCTATTATAGATGACATGATAACGTTGTGAAGAATGCTTTTTATATATGTCAAGGTCCACACATATAATTATCTGCAGGATGTTTCCCTTGGAGGCTTTAAAAGTCATCATTACTTTTAAGCCTTCTGATAGCATACTGCCATACTGCTTTCCAGTGCACCTGGCTGCATCTCTCTTGCGGCCCTGCATGCATTGAAGGGATGTGGACCTTTGTTGGGTGGCTTATTGAGGCTTTTATCATCTGGTCACCTCATACATGGTCTCTTCCCTCTTAATGATATTTTCTAGTGACAGCTCTGCTGCTGTTCTAAGGTGGTATTGTCATCTTCTTGCTCCTCAAGGATTTCTGGAAGCCAAGCTGCCCTGTCTGTCTCTCTGGCTCCTCTGTCTGTGGAAGCTAATCCATTTCCTTCAAGGGAAGATAGGCCATTTTGTGAAGAAAAAAAAAAAAGAGCTTTGGGATAACAGAGAAAGAAAGAGTGGATAGCAAGGCTTACTCTGGTTTCTCAGAAACAAAAACAAAAACAAAACCCTCTTCCTTGATATCCTTGAAGTTATGCTGAGACACTTACCTTGGGTTGCAATGTAGTGCCGGGGTCGGTGGTACCCCTGGATAATAGGAAAACACAGTGAAGGATTTCCATTCAAAGCTTGAAAACAGCACAGCATTAATACACATCTCTTCCCAGGTGTGTGGGGTTCTCATGGGCAAAACCAGCAGAGCATCTCAGGGAATTAGGAAGGATTATCTAAGACCAGGCATGCAGAGTATGTAGCCACTAGGCATTAGCTGTTATTGTGGTGACCTGTGAGTGGGCCCATACAGGTTTACCATAGGCATTCCTTATGCTCATGTACCCAAAAAATACAGGGGAAAAGGCACTCCAGGTTTTTATGGCACACACCAACCACTAACAGGCGTTTTCTGAACCACAGTCATATGCAGACTCTGATATTAGGCCTAGTGGGGCACTTGCAGGAGGAAACCCCAAAAGACAGTTCTATTTCTGACCGTACTGTGTTGATAATCAGAGAAAGGAAATGGGAAGGAGAGCATATTGCTTCTCTCTGGTGAAAGGATATCACATTGCTTCTCTCTAGGTACAGAGAGGACTATGTGGAAGTGTGAGCTCAAATAGCCAAGGATTATTTGCTGACTCAAAGACAAGTGATTTCCCTAGCTGTTTCAGAGTGCTCCCATAAGGCATTGTGTGGTCTGAAATGAAACCAACTGGGTGGCTCATAACATCCTAGTCATGAGGAAAGGTGTTGTAGATGACACTGTCCTTTAATTGGAAGTGGAATGGATGGCATACCTCCTTTTTTTTCCCACAGAGGAACAGTGTCTCTTGTGTATTATAGTGAATAAAAGTTTAAGTTTAGCATAGATCCTCAAATATGATTAGCATTTAGTGACCAGATGAATGGATAGATACACACTGTTAAATTTTTATTTGGTGTGTGTGTGTGTGTGTGTGTGTGTGTGTGTGTGTGTGTGACTGTATGGACACATTTGCATCAATGTATGAATATGAATGTATGAATAAGTGAGCACGTGCATATGAAGGTGAAAGGAAGATATTGTGTGATGTCCTCAATAGCTCTCCAGTTTCATTTTTTGAGCCAGGGTCTCTGACTGAACCTGGATTTCAGTGACTCAGTTAGGTTCTCTGTCCAGTGAGCTCTAGGCATCTCCCATCAACTCCCCTGCCCTGCCCCAGTGCTAAGATTTTAGATGGTCACCAAGCACCCAGGTTTCACATGTATGTTAGGGGTCCAAACTCGGTTCTAATGATTACGTGACAGGCACTCTACAGGGTAGTCTTAGAGAGAATGAATTGTTGTTGACATTCTTGGACAACATAAGTCCTAAAGTTTGGTGAACAGCTGTTTCAGTTTAAACATTGTGAAATAACATTGGAGAAGCTGAGCTGTTTCAAATCTTCCTTGAAGAAGTAAGCCAGAATTGCCCTAGAGTTTTGGCAGCAACTCTGAAGCCCTGGATCCATCTGATGACTCAAAAATTAGTGTTTGGGTTCCTTGTACATTTGTGTTTCTTACTATTTTATTCACCTGGTAAATATTTGGTAGGTATCTCCCAATTTCTGTCCATACTTTATCTGGAGTACCTGTCATCACTGACTCAAGACCAATATTATGACCAGAAACTCTCTGTGCAATAGTTAATTCTCATTGTCAAATTGACCTGATTGAGAAATGCTTAGAGGATTAATAACACACACCCCTAAGTCTATCTAGGGACAGTTAGGTCATGAAGACTCTGGCCCAAGGAATGGACTAACTCCTTATAGATTTATAATGTGATGGTGTTAATGGGAGAAGGGGAAAATAGGAGGCCAGGCCTAGTTAATGGAAATGGGAGCGTGATCTTGGGGATTCCATCTTGCCATGTTCTGCTCCCATAACCCCTTTTTCTGCTTCTTGGCTGTGATGTGAGCTGCTGTGCTCTGCCACACCCTCTTTTAGGAAAGATTGATTGGCACATCTGAAACTGTGAGCCAAAACAAACATTTCCTCATTTAAATTGCTTTACTCAGGTACTTGGTTATAGTAATGGAAAAAACCTGTCCTTCATAGTTAGATTAAACACACACCATGATTATTGCAAGAGGTCCAGTATACTTCATGAGGACACTCAGCTGACACAACTGACTTCTATAGAAACTATTCTCCATTGAGCCTACATAGCATCAGGCTCAGAGCAAATACCAAAAAATAATCAAGCTATGACAATACAACCAGAAAAACAGCACAGCACATGGGTTAGACATACCATAGACCAACTAGGTTTGAATCTTGGCTCTGTCCCTTCCCAGGCTGTGTCATTTAGGATAAGTTATTTAACTTCAATGGGTTTCAGTTATTTCTGTAAATTGGGGATCATACTGTTTAAAGTGTACTAAATAAGATTAAGCAAACTAATATATGACAGTTCTCATAATACGTATTGGACACAATTCCAAGATATTACATGTGTGTCTTTACTATTATAATTATATTATTTCTCATCTGGCAAACATCTATTGAGAGCCTTTAATGATAACTTCCACGATGCCAACTGAACCCTTAGAGATTGCTGGGAAGATGGGTCCTCCCTTGTTGGTAGTAACTGAGCCCTTCTCCAAGAATAAAGGGATGGAAAGGTGTGTCTGTCACTCCAAATAAAGTTGGATAGCACTATGCAGACTAGACAGAAGAATTAGATTCTGCATCTTTTTAGTAGGTTTGGGAACAGAAAATGGCTCTCTAGAGCCCAGAATGAGGTTTCTTTTGTCTGCATTCTTCTGCCATCGCCATCATTAGCTCTTCTCAATCTCCTCATCCACCCTGGGCCATAGCATCAACTTTCTGGTGTCCTCCAATAAACCTATTTTTACTTCTGAAGCACATCCTCTTCCTGCAATAGCGGGCTTCTCAGTATATGCCCCAGGGTGTCAGCTTTTGTTTTGTTTTGGTTTTTGAGTCTGCGTCGACTCTACACTGCTTGCACAGCAATGTCTCAGTGCTTCACCTTAGACTACCCACACCTCTCATCCTCATCTTGAGCTGCACCGCCCCCACCAGCTGTCTCTCTATCTCTGCTCCCTGAAAACACTCATCCTGTGTTCCAGCCTCACTATCCAGGACTTTAGAGGTGACGTCTTCTGTGTTACAGAGGTAACTCCTTCGTCAGAATACTCCTCTCTCCTGAGAGATACCACAGGGTTTCACATATGCCCAGTGAATACAGGGACATGAGCAGCACTAAGAGCTTTTTCATTTTTCTTCTCCCCAGGCATGAGACATGCCATTCAGAGGTGAGTGCAGCTTTCCTCAAAGGTTAGTCAGTAGGATGCACTCATGAATCTGGTTTTGCATTTGCAAAAACCTTGGAGGTTTTAAAAGATTCAAATGTACTTGAAAGTTAATGATAAAAAAAATTCTGGGAAAGAAATTCACACATCAATTGTGAGGTTGGACTGCAGAGGCCCAATATTTTGTGCTTTCATTTTTTTTTTTTTTTTTTTTTTTTTGCACACTTATTTCAGATACAACTGGCAAGCATTAAAGGAGTACAATGCACTGGGAATGCAAACGTGAACCAGATAGATGTGGGCTCTGCTTTGGAGAAGCTCATATACATCTGGAAACTGGGATAGAAATCTGTAAAGGAAGATATGGGGCTCTGGAGAGCAAGCATGGGAACTGACTCAGCTATGAAGCAAACGCTTTCTGAGAAGGTGGAGGTTTAATTAGCTTCTAGTTTGGGCTTCTTGAAATTCCTGAATTCCCTCTTTGAGCCTTCTTCAGTCTGTCTTGCCTCCCCACTGTTGTCCCCATTGCTCATGGGCTTGCAGCTCTTCTTCAGAAGCAGTGATCACACTTCTGTTCAGAATTGTGCAACAGGCAACTTGGCTTCTTCCATATACCAAAATGGTCTCTCTCTCACTCTCTCTCTCCCTGTCTGTCTGTCTTTTCCCTCCCTTTGGACTTCTGCTCTACTGCCTGTCACTATCTGAGACAGCATTCTTCTGACCACTATCTGCTTCTCTCCCCTACCCCCAGCTTGTTTTTCATGCTTCTTTTTGTGAGCGTGCATGCAATTGTGTAGAGGTGCACATTTGTGTAGGGGTGCACAGGTGTGAATGTGTGTGGAGGTCAGAGGTTGATGTCAGATGTCTTTTTAACCCCTCTTCTCAATGACCATGGAGATTATTGATTCAGTTAAACTGGCCAGAAAGAACCAGAGCCCTCTTGTCTCTACACCTCCAGTGCTCGGATTTTAGCAGTGCTGCCAAACATGGCGCTTTTTTTATGCGACTGCTAGGGATTTATCTGAAGTTCTCATGGCAAGCACTTTACCAATGGAACCATCTCTCTAGCCTCCTAGGCTCCCTTTTCTTCAAAGCACTAATCACCAGATAGCTTACTCATGTATACCCCTTTTCTTTCTCCTCCCATATTATGGTTGTTCTATAGCAGTGGGCGGGGCTGTACCTGGCTTGTTGTGGCTATGCTCTCAGCACTGAAATGCTTGTCTTGGCTGCCAACCTGGTAAAACTACACTGAAAGCACGTGTGCCACATGCCTGTCCTCATGCCGCATCTGAGCAAAAAGACCTTCTCTGGACTCCAGAAACCCACACCGTCCCCAATGGGGAAAAATTCAAAGCACAAGATTCCTCAGCAAAGAAGATAAAAGGAAATGTGTTGCTCAATTGGGCTTCCTCTGGGGATTTGCCAAGAGCTAGTGCAGAAAACTTTCTAAGCTTAAAAGAACTTTCAGTTCATTTAAGTCCCACCTACATAGCACACAGATCGACTGCAATCCAGTGCTGGGCCTGTCTCCATCTGTCTTTGAGCAATCGGAAAGAGGTTTGCATCCAAAATGCATTTATCTCACTCTGCACTCCCGCATCTGTTATTTACTGGGCACCCAGATACGATATTTATTTCCAGGTTGGTAATTTATAACAGAATCAAGTGGCCAATACATTTTCGGATGTGCAAACAAACATGTCAGTGGGTTGGTTCAGACAGCAGCATGCAACAGCCTCCAGAGACACAGGGCTGCCCTCATCTAGCTCATTATCCAAATAGAGTCATTTT